GTGCCGAGCCCCCATGGGGCAGCGGTGATGCCCCCCACAGTGCCAGGGCAAGGCTGGCATTAGAAGCAGGTGTCTGACCCGCAGGGTGTCACCGCAGCCACATCAGAGCTCCAGCCCCAGGGTCCCCACCCTCTGTCCTTGGCTTGCTTTCCCTAGCCATTGTGTTGGCCACACGTCTGCAGGACCTGCCACCCATGACATGGGCTCTGCCACCCAGTGGGGACCCCTTGGAGCCCCTCTGGCCACCAAGTCCTTCCCCATCCCAGAACTGGCCTTCTGGAGCCTTTTGCTGTCCCCAGTTCGGGCCAGGCCCTGACAAGGGCGCTTTGTCCAGCACTGGGCTCACTCTGCAGGTCCCTCAGACGCTGTGTGTGCAGTGGGTGAGGCCCGCAGGCCTTAGAGAGGAGCCTAGGGTGGGGCTGGGGCCTGGCAGGGGCTCTGGCAGCCCTGGGCCTGGACCTCCCACCTCCTGTCAGACCCTCCAGGACCAAAAAAGGCAAGGCACCCCTCCTGACCTGCACCCCTCAGTGAACCCAGCCCTGCAACCCAGGGGTCCCAGGGTCTGAGGGGAGGGAGAGCTGGCTCCTGGGCGCCATGCCCGTGAGCAGGTGCCATCTGCAAGGCATCCCTGGCAGAGTCTTCATCTGGCCAGGAGCAGGCCGGGCAGTGGAGCCCAGATCTGGGTGTGTTCTCTGCCTGGCATGGGTCCTGCCCCAGGCGCCCTCTCCCCTGGGCTGGCCGGGCCCACAGGTTGCTTCCCACCCTTGGGCGGCCCCTTCTCCCTCCCCAGGAGCATGCTGCCCAGCCAGGGGCTGTGGGGGAGTTGGGGAGGGCCAGCCTTCCCACCCTGGTGGAGCGGGCCCAGGTGGGGTGCTGGCCTTCAGCCCTCAGGCCCAGGACCTAGGAAGCCAACTTGATCCCCCAACGCAGCAGCCAAATTCGGGTCTCCTAATGGAAGTACCGCTGTGCTGCCAAGTTGGGGGGCAGAGCAGCAGGGCCCCGCCCACTTCACGCACTGCACTGGGGAGGCAGCACTGGTTCTGGACCCTGGGGTGACCCTCGACCCCAGGTTGTGCTTTCAGCTGCCACTCCCACCTAAGATGGGGGGTCCTTCTCAGACTCCACGCCAAGTCCCAGCGGCATTAGGAGCAGGTTTAGGCAGTGGGTGCAGGCAGTGGGTGGCAGGTGGGGGACTGTGGGTGGTGGGTTTGGTGCTTGGAGGGCCGTGGGTGGTGGTGGGGGACTGTGGCTGGCAGGTGTGGCAGGTGGCGGGTTGTGGGTGGTGGGTGGGGGACTGTGGCGGGTGGCAGGCCATGGGCCACACCGCAGGCCTTGTCCCTGCAAAGCACCCATCTCCAGCACTCAGAGCACTCACGAGGCACACAGTCCCCACCTGGTGGTCTCAGTCTCCCTTCTGCATCATGGGAGAGGAAACTGAGGCACAGAGAGTTCCCAGGGCCGAGCTGGGATGTGGGCCCTCGCTGCTCATCCCTGGCATCGGGTCTTCCCAGCTGGGCAGCCCGTGGTGGGGTCAGCACCTGGGACCCTCCGGGGTCTCGGGCTGTGACGAGTGTGCAGGCGCCCACCCAGTGTCGCTCTCCCCAAGGCATCTACATCCTCATTGCTGTGGGCGCCGTGATGATGTTCGTTGGCTTCCTGGGCTGCTATGGGGCCATCCAGGAGTCCCAGTGCCTGTTGGGGACGGTAAGGCAGGGAGGTGGGCCTGCACCTGGGATGGGCCCAGCCCGGGGAGGGGCTGGGGGCTGTGTCCGGCCCTGGTGCTCAGGGCGGATTGCACTTCTGGGGTAGGCAGCGGTGGCGGCAGCTCCCGTGCCCCAGATTTCCCATTTGATTTTTAAATTAAATCCCACTGTGCTTGATCTCCTCATGGCCAGTTCCTAAGTGACCTGAGGCTGGCCTTGGGCGTCCCTGGGCACAGCGCCCCCAATGGGAAGCCCAGTGGGGGAAACTGAGGCACATCCCATGGCCCCCTTCCCATGGGGAGCAGGAGCAAGGGGGTGGGGAAGACCAGGTCTGAGTCAGGGGTCAGGCTGCTGCACATGCCTCCCAGGGCTGCAGACATCTTGGACTCACCAGCTGTGACCCCAAACCTCAGGCCCCGCCCCATCCACCCCAGGGTGCTGGTGCTGGCGGGGAAGCCGTGGGCTTTGACGTCTGCTTCCTGGGGCTGAGTGTCAGGCTCTGTGCTCTAGGGCTCACACATGGCACTCATTCCTGGTCAGGTGGGCTGGTCCCTCACACACAGCCTGCTGGGCACCTGGGTGTCTGCCCTGGGGCCCCGCCCACAGCCTGCTGGGCACCTGGGTGTCTGCCCTGGGGCCTGCCCACAGCCTGCTGGGCACCTGGGTGTCTGCCCTGGGGCCCCGCCCACAGCCTGCTGGGCACCTGGGTGTCTGTGCTGAGGCCCCGCCCACAGCCTGCTGGGCCCCTGGGTGTCTGCCCTGGGGCCCCGCCCACAGCCTGCCCTCTTTCCTCCCTCGGCCACTGCATGGCTCCAGTTCTTCACCTGTCTGGTCATCCTGTTTGCCTGTGAGGTGGCCGCTGGCATCTGGGGCTTTGTCAACAAAGACCAGGTGAGCCTGGGTGCGCGGGGGCAGGGTGGGGTGGATGGGAGGGGCACCCTCCTCTGCTGTTGCGGGTGGGGGGTACTCTCTGGGCTCCTCCTGGGACCCACTTGGTAGGAGAGTCTCTGGGGGCTGCATGGAGGCGGCAGCACTGGGGCTGAGCACAAGGCCAGCCTCCCTTGTGCGTCCCAGCGCCCCCGGGGCAGCTGGGAGTGTAGACGTCTGGCCTGGAAGCCACCCTGCCCTGGGAGAGCTTGGGAAAGGTGCGTGGGGCCGGGGCAAGGTTGGGGAGGTCCCAACTGTGCGAGTGACCGCAGCCCTCCCCCAGATCGCCAAGGATGTGAAGCAGTTTTACGACCAGGCCCTGCAACAGGCCGTGGTGGACGATGACGCCAACAACGCCAAGGCCGTGGTGAAGACCTTCCACGAGACGGTGCGGCCCGGGGCGGGGCGGGGCGGGGCAGAAACCAGTGCGGGGCGGGGCAGAAACCCGGGCGGGCTCTGTCTCATCCTGGACCACCCCTACTGCGTCCACCCAGACCTCAGGAGCAGGAGGCGCCCTGGGGACCTCTAGTACCCTTGGGCTCAGCTGGTCCTCCGGTGGGAACCTAGTGGGCCAGGGTGGCCCAGGGCACGGTATCTCTGAGCAGCAGCTCAGCTCAGCGGGAAGAAGGGTGGCCCTAGATGCATCCACAGTGGGGGGGCACCATGTACCCCCGGCCGCCTCCCTGTGGGTCTCCTAGAGCCACCGTCCCCCGGGCCTGCCCAGGGCTGACCTCATACTCCGCTCTCTGCAGCTCAACTGCTGCGGCTCCAACACGCTGACCGCCCTGACCACCTCGATACTTAAGAACAACCTGTGTCCCTCGGGCAGCAATATCATTACCAACCTCTTCAAGGTGTGCAAGGCGGGGGGGCCTCTGGGGGCCGGCAGGGGTGGGCCTGATCCCCCGAATCTCCCAGCCCCTGGATGTGGTCTTGGGTGTGGGCAGGGGAGCGACCACACTGGGTGGCGTGGCCCCCTTAGGGCTGCTCTGCCAGGAGGGTCGGGGTGGGACCACCTCTGGCCCGCAAGGAAAGCAGGCACCCGGGGCTTTGCATGCCGGATGAAGGAGGTGGAGGCTCTTGGGGGTGGGAGCTCACCTGTACCCACAGCCCCATGTGTGCACTGTTGGGTGTGGATGCCCCTGACAGCCGGTCTCTGGGGCAGTGAGTGCCCTGTGGAAGTTTCCTGCCAAGGCCCCAGTGGAAGCTGTCGGTGCACATCAGTGACGCTCTAGGGCACTAGTGTGACCGATGACTGTGACGGCAGTGGAAAAGGGCACAGTGTGTCCCAGGCATTTCACGTTTATGTTAAAACAGGTGGAAGATGAAGAGCTGGCAGAGGCTGGGCCCCTGCACTTGCCTGTTCCGAGGTGGATGGAGGTGGGGTGGGGTCGGGGGGCTGTTCCTGGGATTCCTGTCCACACTTTCTGTGACGACCACGGACTGCTGTGTGACAAGGGGGAGCTGAGGCCGGGTCCCTGACTGCTCGCGCCTGACCACCCCTGCAGGAGGACTGCCACCAGAAGATCGATGAGCTCTTCTCGGGGAAGCTGTACCTCATTGGCATTGCGGCCATCGTGGTCGCCGTGATCATGGTGAGCGGGCGGGGCGGGAGGGCCTGTTCTCCGGGCCGCCCCTCCGGGTCCTTGCTGACCGCACCACCGCCGCCCTCCCGCAGATCTTCGAGATGATCCTGAGCATGGTGCTGTGCTGTGGCATCCGGAACAGCTCCGTGTACTGAGGCACCGCCGCTCCGGCCGCAGGGACCCCTGCCGCGCCCCGGACGCTTCGAGGGGGCTGTCACCGCCTGTGTATATAACGTTTCCGGTATTACTCTGCTACACGTAGCCTTTTTATTTTCTCCTGTTACCTTTTCAGGGCTGATGTCACATGTAGGTGGCATGTGTGAGTGGAGACAGGCCTGGGCCTTTGGGACTGCAGGGCAGGGGTCCTTCTGCCCCTGGGGTCCCAGGAAGCTCTGCCTGCTCAGCCGGGCTTCTCCTGGGAGCCACTTGCTCAGAGACTCAGCTTGGCCAACTTGGGGGGCCGTGTCTGCCCAGCCCGCCCATCCTGTGGGCTGCACAGCTCAAGCCTTTTTAATCCTTGATCCCTCTGCCCCGGTCGAGAGCCGAGTCTGTGGGCACTCTCTGCACCTGCCCTTTCTAACACGTCACCGTCAACTGTAATCACGACATCCTGAATCCATCATTTAATAAAGAAGGAACATCAGGCATGCTACCAGGCTGTGCAGTCCTTCAGTGCCAGCGGCGTCTGAGACCTGCGGGGTGGCCAGAGGGCAGGGGAGTCCAGCGAGGGTGGGCTTCGGCTCTGTGGACTTGTGTCAGGTCCAGGGCGAGGGGGGTCGGTTGGGATCCCTGGTGTCCGCAAAAGAGAAGTCACTCTAAAACTTGGGAAATTTATTCTGAGCCAAATATGAACACCAGAGGCCTGTGACACAGCCCTAGGAGGTCCTGAGGACCTGGCCCAAGGTGGTCAGGCTCTGCCTTGATTGTACACATTTTAGGGATATAAGACAGCCATCGGTACATCTAAGACATACATTGGTTTAGCCAGAAAGGTGGGGTTACTTGAAGGGGAGGGACAACTTGAAGGGAGGGGCTTTCAGGGCATAAGTGGATTAAAAGGTGTTTTAGTTGACTGGCAATTGGCTGAGTCTATCTGAAGTCCTGGCATCAACAGAGTGGACTCTTGATTATCTAATGGGTTAGAGGAGGAGCTGTGGAGACGGAGACTCTTATGCAGATGAAGCCTCCAGATTGTCAATGTTCCATATCAGACTTAAAAAGGTGCCAGAATCTTAGTTAATTCTCTCCTGGGTCAGCAAATAGACCGGGAGAGGGAGGGGGATTCTGTATAGAATTTACATCTTCCTCACGAGAGACAGCTTTGCGGGACCATTTCAAAACACGCCAAAGAAATATATTTTGGGATGAAACACTTGGATTTCTTTCAGGGTGTGCTGTCACATTGGCATCTTATTGCTACAGAGCCTTTTTTGTGAGTCTTAAGGTCTCTGTTTCATTTTTTGGAGGGAGTTTCACTCGTCGCCCAGGCCGGAGTGCAGTGGCATAATCTTGGCTCACTGCAACTTCCGCCTCCCGAGTTCAAGCGATTCTCCTGCCTCAGCCTCCCAAGTAGCTCGGACCACAGGCTTGCACCACCATACCCAGCTAATTTTGTAGTTTTAGTAGAGACAGGGTTTTGCCATGTTGGCCAGGCTAGTCTCAAACTCCTGACCTCAGGCGATCCACCAGCCTTGGCCTCCCAAAGTGCTGGGCTTACAGGCGTGAGCCACTGCACCTGGCCTAAGGTCTCCGTGTTTTAATGTGAATGCCGGTCAGCTGTGCCTAAACTCTCACGGGAAGAGGGTGTGATGAGGCACAGATGGTCATCATGGCCTAAACTAGCTTTTCAGGTTTAGTTCAGAATGCGTTTGGCTAAGAGGTGCCCGTCCCATTGGCTGGGGTTGCTTAGAACTTTGCTTTTGAGTTTAAACCAGGGAGCAACTTCAGGGAGCAAGGGCCTTTTTGGGGGCTCTGTGTTGCCTGCAGCCACTTTTACCCTGCCCCTTGGGCACACAAGGGGCACAGTGCCAGCGGGTGGGCAGGAGGGGTCGGGCATCCAGAGTGCCCTAGGAGATGGGCTCGGGGCAGGGGCTGGGTGGGCTGCAGGACTCCTCTTCGTCCTCAGGGACGGTAAAGGATGGACACACTGCCCCCTCCCGAGCATTTGAGGATCTTTGCCCTGCTCATCTAGGGCCTGTGTTAAGTGTTCCTTTGAGGAGCTGGTGGTTCAGGGCCTGAGGCACATCTCAGAGGTGCTGGAGGGGAAGAAAGACCTCGGCCTCCTCGGGAGCCCCCCCAGCCCACCAGTGAGCAGTGGGTGGGTGGACAGGCTCTGGGGCCAAGCATCCCCTGCACTGCCCCGCACCCCTTCCCTGTCCGAGCTCCTCCAAGCCAATGGGCTTGGTCTAGGCTCTCCTATCTTCCCTCACACCGTGGACCCTGGGGTGGTGCTTGCTGTCGCTCCGGCTGCTTTTCCCTAGTTGGGGAGATGAAGCTGCTGGCACATTGACCCCTGGAGGAAAGGAGTGACTGGGAATTTATGTCTAGGGCTCCCAGCAGCCTCTCTGCAAGCCAATTTGGAAACTGCCCCCGGCCCTGCATTTTGGGGGGTTACGGAGTCTCTCAGCAGGCCCTCTCCTGCTGCTCCCAAATTCCAAGGCTGCACTGCTTGGGAGCACAGGACGGTGCAAGGAGCCCCCTCTCCACTTCCCGCTGTGTCCTCCGTGGGCGGGGAATGACATCCCAAAGGCCGCAGCAGCTCCTTGAGTCCTGTTTCCCGGCGGATGCCAGGACAGCAGGCCCTGGGAAGGGAGTTGTCTCCAGCCTTGACACGGCCCAGCGGTGTAGCCGCCGAGGGGAACTCAGCTCCCCGCAGTGTGCGGGGCACAGGGCGCCAACCAACCAGGGCCCGTGGCCCAGGGACACGCGGCTTGTCGGGGGGAGAACCTGGGCCCTCGCTCTCCCTTTCAGGGCGGGCACCGTGGACAGGCGAGGCCAGGCTGCCGGCTCCCAGGCATGGCGGAGGCCACACCGCTCCGGCTGCCGCCCACCCAGCCACGCTTGAGGAGCGTTCAGCGGCCTCCACCCCGCCCGGGAGGACGGGGGACCGGGGACCTGGAAGGGCCTGGCCCTGGCTTCCCTGCAGCGCCCTCGGAGGCCGGACCAATGTGCCAGAGCTGAGGGCCCAGGGCTGCGCGGGCGGCCCGGCAGCGTCCCCAAGGGCGACGCCCCACAAGTTTGCCTCCAGGGCCCAGCCAACCCCTAGGGGTGGGAAAGCGTCGGCCCAGCCAGCGGATCCAGCAGGGCCGCCCCCTTCACCCGTGGCCCACAGGTCAACACTCCGCGTCCTCATCTCGGGCTGGGACCGCCTTTGCGTCCGCCCTGAGCGGGACCGTGGGATCCTGGGGAGCCCCGCCTCAGTGCCCCGAAGCCCCGGAAGAGCTACAGCTGCCGCTTCCGGTCATGACCGGAAGTGTCCGAACGGCATTCGCCCTCCCTATGAAATGACGCACTTCCTGCCTGAGGCGGCCGCTGTTCTCACGGTTTCCAGCAGGTGGCGCTGGGACCACGGAAAGCCGGCGCGGCGGTCGGTTAGCCCTCGAGCATTCTGGGAATTGCAGGCGTGGCCCCTCCTTTTCCTGTTCTCCTTGGTCAGTTCCGGTCTTGTTTCGCCAACAAATGCCGCGGTTCCGGGGCTGTTTCCGAGCCGGACGCCAGGGCCGCGGTGTCCTGGAGTAGAGAGGCGGACGCATGCGCACAAGACTACACGTCCCGACAGGCGTCGGGAGCGGCGGCCCAGTGCCTTGTGGGAGGTGTAGTTTTGCGGGCGTGGAAGCCGCGGCGCTCGGCCGGATGAACACTCGGTTTCCCAGAGGGCTGAGCGCGTTGCATGGGCGGGCGGAGCCGACCAAGATGGAGACGGCCGTGCCGCCTTGAGCTGGTAGGTTTGTGTTGAGGAACGACGGGCCGCGTGAGCCGGGTGAGCCTCCGGGAGGTCACCGAGCGCAGCTGAAGCCCCGCTGTGCTCACCGACCCCCGTACCCCGCGGCCGAGCCCTTGGGACCCACAGCATCCTCGTGAGTGTCCAGCCCGACTTCGCACCGAGAGCCGACTTGGCACAGAGAGTTTGTTCCCTGGCGGGGAGGTCTTGCTGGCGCATAGAGAGGAGAAAGGCCAGGCCCTGCCTTCATGTGGGCAAAGGGACGGTTTCCTTCAGCCTCCGTCCCTGCCGGCTCTAAAACGGACATCAGTGGGGGGTTCCGGGTAGCCCCTTTCATTTACGGGGTGGCTTCTTCACGGAGGAGAGTCACGCCGCAGAGGAATTGAAGTGCTGCCTCTGTTTGACCTGGTGGGGGGCACTAGGAGCCCCTTCTGGTACCCCTGACCCCATCCTTGTTGGGAGCACGGGACACATGTCACCCTGGCGGGCAAGGAGTCAGTGGATGGATGAGGGCAGTGCAGAAGGGTGAGGCCGGGCCGTCCTCTCCACTGGCAATGCCAGCTCCGAGGCACCCAGTCACTCCACCACTAAATGGGTGCGGGAGGCCGCTTGGCTGCCCCGCTGGAAAGGCGGTGTGTGTGTTGAGTGTTACACGGGGAAGGCCACTAGAGGTCGCTCCAGGAGCTACGCGGCTTTGCCTCTGCCTGTGAGGGCTGCTCGAGGTGATTGATGGGCTGACACCCCACTTTGTGCGATGCCAGGGCCTTGGCTGCAGATGTCTTGGGAGCTCCCGGGGCTCTCCCAGCAGATAGGAGCAAACCTTTTCCCCGATGACCAGGAAGGTGCCTGCTCTTGCTCACCCCCCACAGCAAGCAGCTTATAAGTAGCTCTCCTGCCTGATCTCGGCCCTGGGTTCCAGCCCTGGGCGGCTGCTTACTACCAGAATCGCTTCGTAGTTCCAAGCCTGCCTGCAGAGGGTTGACGCGATTAAATTAAGTCACGACTCAGAAGTCCCTACCCTGGGTTCTGGCCTGTCAGGGACTCCAAAACCCGGGCTCAGGTCGGTCCTGCCTCCCACCTCTTTCACACATTTGCGCTCCGGTCTGAGGATGGTCCTCTCCCCCACCCCTCCCACCTGCAGTCGAGCAGCTAAACAGACCCATGCCAGGGGCACTCCGAGGCCTGAGACAACCATACCTGTGCCACTGAGGACCTTCATCAAGGTTCCGCCCACCTGGCTGTGCAGCCACACTCCAGTGTCAGCAGCCAAGGGAGGTGAGAGGAGGGCTGGGAGGGGGAGAGGGGCCTCCACCCTGTGTGGGACAGGTCTGCCGGCTGATCCTCCTTGTCCAGGGGCGGTTGATCTGCAGGAGACTCATTCTTAACACTGTTCCTGAAACGAATCTCCTGGGCTGTTTTGGTCTAGGTGTGACGTGGTCCTGGGAACGCATGGCTGAGGCAGGGACAGAGGAGCCATCCCCCAGCGTGGAGGGGGAGCATGAGACGGAGTATGACACGCTGCCTTCCGACACAGTCTCCCTCAGTGACTCGGACTCTGACCTCAGCTTGCCTGGCGATGCTGAAGTAGAAGCGCTGTCCCCAGGGGGGCTGCCTGGGGAGGAGGATTCAGGCCCCGATGAGCCGCCCTCACCCCCCTCAGGCCTCCTCCTCCCATCTGCGGTGCAGCCGTTCCATTTGAGAGGCATGAGCTCCACCTTCTCCCAGCGCAGCCGTGACATCTTTGACTTCCTGGAGGGGGCAGCCAGGCGGGCCCCACCCCCTGTGGCCCACAGCAGCAGAAGTGACAATGGAGGCTTCAAGCGGCCCCTGGCACCCTCAGGCCAGCCTCCAGTGGAAGGGCTGGGCAGGGCCCATTGGAGCCCAGCCTCCCCGAAGGCGCCTCCAGTCCCCGACTACGTGGCACACCCCGAGCGCTGGACCAAGTACAGCCTGGAAGATGTGACCGAGGTCAGCGAGCAGAGCAATCAGGCCACCGCCCTGGCCTTCCTGGGCTCCCAGAGCGTGGCTGCCCCTAGTGACTGCGTGCCCTCCTTCAACCAGGACCCCTCCAGCTGTGGGGAAGGGAGGGTCGTCTTCACCAAACCAGCCCGAGGAGTTGAGGCCAGACACGAGAGGAAGAGGGTTCTGGGTAAAGTGGGAGAGCCAGGCAGGGGCAGCCTTGGGAACCGTGCCCCAGATAGGGGCGAGGGCCCAGTGGAGCTGGCCCATCTGGCCAGGCCCGGTAGCCCAGAGGCTGAGGAGTGGGGCAGCCCCCACGGGGGCCTGCAGGAGGTGGAGGCACCGACAGGGCCTGTCCACGGTGGGCCTATGCCAGGCCTCCCACCGGTGGAGACGGTTGGCTTCCACAGTAGCAGGAAGCGGAGTCGAGACCACTTCCGGAACAAGGGCAGCAGCTCCAAGGGCCCAGGTGCTGAGGTCTCAGAGGGAGACGGGGCCGCCTGACCACACTGGCCACTGCCGTCCTGCTGCCTTCCCAGGAGGGCTGGCCAAGGGGCAGCTAGAGTGGGAGGAAGCCTGCATGCTGCCTGTAGGTGGCACCGGTGGCCCTGGGTGTCATCCTCCCAACAGACCTGGCTGAGGCTCCTGGGGTGTGGGCTGGAAGCATTGGCTACCTGGTGGGGACAATAAAGGTTTTGGGACTTCCTCAGGCTTCGTGTATATCTGGGCCCTGCTCACCCCTGTCGGCAACGAGGGGTCCCGCTTGGCTGCTTCCAGCCTCACCGCCGGGCCACTCGAGGGTGGCTGGCACCTGCATCCGTCACCAGCAGATCACCCAGGTGGCAGCAAGAAGTGGAAACCCCAGGTCTCCTCCAGGGCTTGTGGCTCAGTGGCAGGTGTCCAGCGAGTGCCCTCAACGTGCCTGGGTGGGTACAGAATTTGCCCTCCCCCAAACAAAGCCCACACGATAACATCAGCTCCAGGCCTGGTGCAGATTCCAGCATGGAAGGCAAGAGGAAGGTGACAAAATGGGTCTGGACAGAGAGGCTGGGGTGAGCAGACAGCCGGGGAGCCAGGGAGCCAGGGCAGGTAGGTGTTTGACTGTGCCGGGGTGGTGCAGTGTTCTCTAGGTTCCACTGGAGGGAAAGCAGCCACTGACGCCAGCACGGGCTGAGTCCCAGGGCCATAAACACCCGTGTGTCCTGTACCGGCCACAGGGTGTCGGGGACACCTGACAGACGCCGTGGACGCCCAGCCCTGTCCTCCAGGAGCCAGTCTCCTGAGTCCCAAAGGACCTTTTGGGTCTTAAGTGGCAGAAGTTGTAACCACTGGAGTTTCAAAAAAAGATGAGTCTCTTAGCAGGCAACGCAAGTGAGGGCAGGGGTGGGTGCAGGCCCGAGAGCAGCTGACTGTCTGGAAGGGGCTGCGCCCCCATCATGCTGCAGGGCAGGCTTTCCCCTGCTGCAGGCTGGTCAGTTTCCAGGTAGGGACACGGCAGGGCACATGTTTTCTGCCCGGGGACTTCTGCCTGTCAGGGGAGGCGGCCCCATGACACTGCTGTGCCTCTGGGGAGGCCAGGAAGGCATCAGGAGGGCCAAGGAGTGGTTCCTGGGCATGAGGGTCTGTGGGGAGGCACTGGGGTGGGGGCGGGGACATTGTCTGCTGGGGGACTGCTGCCCCCTGGGGGTTCCACTGGAGGTGGGCAGAGGTCAGTACACAAGGCCCAGGGTGGCCAGCTGACAAGAGGTGGCCCCACAGGTGGCAGGCCAAGTAACTCAAGTGTCCGAAGGAGGCTGGCCAGCCCTGGGGTGTTCCCGGTCAGCAGCCGCCAGCCGGCTTCCCCCGCCACAGTGCCGAGAGCCTGTTGGGAAGGAAGCCCCCCTGAGCAGTGGGAGCCAGCAGGGCAGCCCCAGGAAGGGGAGAGGTGGCTGGCTGGGAGGCAAGGGCCAGGACGCCGGGGCCGTCAGAATGAGTCCTGACAGGCCAGCCTGGGAAAGGTGGGAAGCCCAGGGCCAACCAGGCCTCTGCCTGATCTTAGAGCTAGGGAAGCAGCCCCCGTGGGGCCCAGGGGCCTCGCCTGCTGAGCGGGACAGCCCAGCAGGGCCCATGCCAGGAAGAGCCTCAGGAGTCTGAACCACATTCTGCTCTGGCCAAGGCAGGGAGCTCCATCAGAGGGCACTGCCCTGAAGTACCATGTCCACAAGGCCATCGGAGACTCCCAGGACAGGCAGGGAAGGAAGGGCACACAGCACAGCCCACAGTCCCCCACCTGCTGCCACCAGCCCCTGCAGGGTGGCTGCCATGCCCACCCTCACCCATGCTCCCCAAACAGGCTTACTCCAGGAGGCGCTGCCTTGGGCCAGCGTGTCTGCCACGGAGGACAGGAGCACTGAGCAGTAGTTGATCTGGAGGAGGGAGACATGTCTGGAAGCTCCAGGGCTCTCAGGACAGCAGGGCACAGGTAGCCTCCCCGCCTCCCCCTGCTTCTGCCAGGGCCTCCGTTGCCCCACGACTCCTCCCTCCAGGAGCTGCCCCTCAAAGGCAGGGGTTGGTGAGGCTCCCGAGAGTGAAAGGTGAGGGGTCTTAAAGTGAGACCCCTCGTTTAAGGCTGTGGCCTCTCAAGTGTCGGGGTGGGAGCCGGCTCAGGTGGGGCCGGACCATCTCCCCCAGGACCCTCCCTGCCCACAGTGGAGCTCCTGCCCTGGCTCTGGGCTGCTCGTCTCTGTGAATGGCCAGGCCCAGGCAGCCCCGCGCAGCCACCCGCCTCCCTCGGGAAGAGGAGCTCCGGGGCTTTCTTGCCTGTGACTCTAGGCACTTGATGCGTTTCTCTTGCTCTCTCAGGCCCCCGAGGTACTTGGCGAGGAAGTCCACTCTGCAGCAGGAACAGGCGGGCAGGCTGTGGGTGGCTTTGTAGTGCTCCTCGGTGGGGGCTCCCCGTCCCCCAGGCCTCCCTGTGTGCCCGGGTCCGGGGTGCCCTGGCCCTTTCCCTTCCCACTTCATGCCCAGATCTGGTGGTACCAGGACCCTTTGAAGTGTTCCCGGCACAAGTACAGAGCACCCTGCGCCTTCCCAGTAGGACTGGGGTGCCATCCCTGCCTGGGCACACCACCCAGCTAAACAGGGCAGGGAAGGTGGTCAGAAACAGGCCCCTGGAGCCATGGCCGGAGGGAAGCCAGGGATGGGCAGTTCCACTCCTGAGACCACAGCGGGGAGGACGCCACGCTCGCTGTGCACTTTCAGCCTGGCGGTTCCTAGCAGGGCCCTGCCCCTCCCGCTTCAGCCTCAGTTCCCCAGCTCAGATCCTCTGTCACTGGCACCAACGGCACATCCCCGATTAAAGGCCGACACCCACCAGCAATCAGGACAGGACTCGCACCTGTGGGCAGTTTTCCGAAGCACCTCCCCCTCGCTGTCCCTCCTCCGCTTCTCCATTTTGCTCAGAAAGTTCTCCTTCTGGACCGTCTCCCAGGTGACCACCTTTTGGTCCACGGGGTCTGGCAGGTCTCTCTCTGGGAAAGCCAGGGCAGCAGCCGGCATTACCAGAGCACGTGGGCCCCTGTGGCAGAGCCCAGGCCCGGTCCCCAGGCGAGGTAGGCCAGGTGGAAGGAGGGAGTGGGACCCAGCCAGGGAATGGAGGGCAAGGACAGCCCTGTGCAGAGACGGCCAAGCTGCTCGGGGAGGGGCTCGGCCATGCCAGCCTACACAGAGCTCAGCCGAGGGCCCAGGGGCTGAGGAGGCACCCGGGTATCTCCCGACCTGCCTCGGGCACAGCCCGCCCTGGGACCTGCCGCCTCTGCCTCACCTAGGTGCTCCCGCTTGTGTTCGGCCTCCTTCTTGAAGACCCTGCGCAGCGCCAGGCTCAGGTGGCTGAGCAGGATGAAGGGCGGAGCCAGGGCGGGGCGCTCGTGGTACTCCACAATCAGGTGGTAGCGCTGGAACTTCCAGAACGTGTCCGCGTTGCCCTGTACCACCTGGAATGTGCAGCTGCGGGGACACGGCCAGACCCTCACCTGCCGGCTCCTCACACCCACCCAGGGGCGCGTCCCCTGACACCCGGGAGCCCTTTTTGAAACCGAGGCCCAGCACCGCTTCTGCGTTGCCTCTGGGGTGTGTCTAAAGGGCTCCACTCTTCTGGGGTCTTCCCTGCCCACTCTGCCCTTCCGGACAAGCCCAGAGCTCTCGCCACGGCACCAGTCCCCCAAAGACCCCAGGCCCTGCTTCCTGGGACCAGGAGGGAGGCCCACAGAGTTCACGACCTTGGGCAGGCAAAGCCCCGCAGTCCAGGCTGTGCCGCCTCCTATCTGTCCTGGGGCACCAAGCCCCAGCCTCTGTGGAGCACCAGGTGGGGAACGACCCTCTGCTCCCTCCACTTCAGGGCCCTGTCTTCCAGGGGCTGGGGCAGAGTCACCTGAACATGGCAATGAGCAGGTTCATGAGCAGCACATTGGTGACCAGCAGGAAGGTGACCAGCAGGAGGATGACCAGCCAGTTGGCATAGAGGCTGGGGCAGGAGGGCGAGTCTTCTAGCATCAGGGGGTGGGTGGAACAGTTCACACGGGCTTCTGGAAGGCAACGGTGTGGTGGAGACCAGGCCAGGGGCAGCCACGAGGACAGCCTCGGCAAACGCCCTGAGATAGAGCTTGGTCCTGGGGATGAAGCCCAGGGGAGGGGGTGCCGGCTAGGTAACCCACTGTCCCAGTTCACACAGGTCGGGGTTTTTGCACCAAAAGCCCCATCCCAGCAAACCAGAAGCAGACAGGTGGTGAGCCCCGCCCTGGGCCACCTCTGCCATGTCTGCTGGGCTTCCATAGGGGGCTGGAGTCAGCCAGGGCCAAGGGCCCCGGAGGCAGAGCTGAGAGCCCTGGAGAGATGGAAGTCGGGGGCAGAGGGGTCGCGGGACACAGGTTTCTGCTGGTGGTTGCCTGTGTTAAGACCTCTGTCCCTCCCCCCAAAGCCTCTGCTGTTGAAAGTTTGGGGAGAGCTTCAGAGGAAGGGAGATGGCATCCTCACCGCAGGACTCCTCAGAGCCTTCACGGCACTGACATCCATCATTCTCCCCCAGGCTGGGGACTGATTCCACCACCTTTCCAAAATGGGTTGAGCCCTAAGCACCTAGGTCCCCCACTGGGCCACTCAAGTCCAAAGAACATTCTTCAGGCGGTGAGTCTGGGAGCTTGCAGGCTGAGCTCCCTTGCCCTGGGCGGGGACACCCTGGAGGGGGCAGATCTTGCTCCAGTCCCTTCAAGCCAGACCCTCACCCCTGCTTCTCCCCTACAGGGCTCAGCCCTAGACCCCACCCCACCCCAGCCTGCAGGGCAGGAGGAAGAAGGAGGGAGCAGCAATGGGTGTTGGGGTGCTCAGGGTCCCAGCCAGAGGCCAGAGCAGGCCCCAGGCCCTCCGCGGCCACATTTCTCCTCCATATACTACAGGGAGCTCCGCTCTCCCCTCCCTGCCCAGCCTGCACGCTGGCGCGAGTCTGCATGAGCCTGTGCCTGTGTTTGGATGTGCCTGGCACATGTGCTCATGTGTGAGTCTGCCTGTGAGCACACTGGCCACACACACGTGCACATTCAAGTGTGTCTTGGTGCCTGCCAGCTCCACGTTGCCCTGTGGTGGGTCCTGGGGGTCTCCCTGTTCCCAGAGTCCTGCCTCTGTGCCTGGGTCCCCAGCTCCAGGGGTCCATCCTCCCTCCCAGGGTGAATTCCTGCCTTGTTGCTGTGGAGTGAGTTATTGTGACGCGTAGACCCGCGTGTGAGTTATTGAGTGTTTGTGTGTGCGCTGGCAGTCAGCGAGCGCCAGCCCTCCCCGCGCCCCCACCCCAGGCCCGCCCCTCCTCTGCCGGCCCCGGCCACCTCCAGCCCATGAATCTGCTCTTGGGTGGACTCATGACCCCTCTCCTCCCTGCACCCTGGAGGGGCGGGCCAGGGCGAGCCTGGAGAGCCTGTTTGTGAAGCCGTAAATCTGTCTGATAAAAGCAGCTCTGAGGAATGAGACCCCTGCACCCTCCCCCAAACCGTGATTTGGGAAGGCGCCACCAGGCCTGGCTGGAAATTAAATTGTCTCTGGGGCCTGGGGCCCCAGAGAACAGCTCATCACCACAGCTCAGCCCCAGCTCTGGCTTGGCACGTGTGCTGAGTGGGGCAGGGGGTTGTCCTGGGCTCTGAGGGGACCCACAGGCTGTGGGGGAACTGTCTGGGCCTCAGTTTCCCTCTCTGCCCAGCATATGTTAGTGAGTAACTCTGCCCAGCAGCAAAGGGAGCTCCGCTCTCCCCTCCCTCCCCAGCCTGCTTGCTGGCGTGTGTCTGCGTGAGCCTGTGCAGCCAGCCCGGGCCCTGTTACAAGCTGTTCACCACCCTCCACATGCTTAAGGGAGAATATAGGGGCTCGGAGATCCCAGCAGCTCCACACACCTCCCCGAGGCAGCAGTCTGGGCACAGGTCCTCAGGAATCTCAGTGTCCCCACCTTCTCCCAGAAAAGGAAGCTATGGCCAGGCCTGTCCCCTCATACAAGTGGCTGGCACTGGCCCTCCAGAGATGCAGCCACTCAAGAAGGGGGGCCCCAACCCTGCCCTGACACAGTCACTCAAGAAGGGGGGCCCCAACCCTGTCCTGACGCAGTCACTGAAGAAGGGGGGCCCCAACCCTGCCCTGACACAGCCACTCAAGAAGGGGGGCCCCAACCCTGTCCTGACGCAGTCACTGAAGAAGGGGGGCCCCAACCCTGCCCTGACACAGCCACTCAAGAAGGGGGGCCCCAACCCTGCCCTGACACAGTCACTGAAGAAGGGGGGACCCAACCCTGTCCTGACGCAGTCACTGAAGAAGGGGGGCCCCAACCCTGCCCTGACGCAGCCACTCAAGAAGGGGGGCCCCAACCTTGCTCTGACACAGTCACTCAAGAAAAGGGGGACCCAACCCTGCCCTGACACAGCCACTCAAGAAAGGGGGCCCCAACCCTGCCCTGATGCAGCCACTCAAGAAGGGGGACCCCAACCCTGCCCTGACACAGCCACTCAAGAAAGGGGGCCCCAACCCTGCCTTGACGCAGCCACTCAAGAAAGGGAGGACCCAACCCTGCCCTGATGCAGCCACTCAAGAACAGGGACCCCAACCCTGCCCTGACACAGCCACTCAAGAAAGGGGGACCCAACCCTGCCCTGACACAGCCACTCAAGAACAGGGACCCCAACCCTGCCCTGACACAGCCACTCAAGAAAGGGGGGACCCAACCCTGCCCTGACAGCCACTCAAGAAAGGGGGACCCCAACCCTACCCTGACGCAGCCACTCAAAAAAGGGGGACCCCAACCCTGCCCTGACGCAGCCACTCAAAAAAGGGGGACCCCAACCCTACCCTGACGCAGCCACTCAAAAAAGGGGGACCCAACCCTGCCCTGATGCAGCCACTCAAGAAGGGGGACCCCAACCCTGCCCTGATGCAGCCACTCAAGAAAGGGGGCCCCAACCCTGCCCTGACACAGCCACTCAAGAACAGGGACCCCCAACCCTGCCCTGACACAGCCACTCAAGAAAGGGGGCCCCAACCCTGCCCTGACACAGCCACTCAAGAAAGGGGGGACCCAACCCTGCCCTGACAGCCACTCAAGAAAGGGGGACCCCAACCCTACCCTGACGCAGCCACTCAAAAAAGGGGGACCCCAACCCTGCCCTGACGCAGCCACTCAAAAAAGGGGGACCCCAACCCTACCCTGATGCAGCCACTCAAAAAAGGGGGACCCAACCCTGCCCTGATGCAGCCACTCAAGAAGGGGGACCCCAACCCTGCCCTGATGCAGCCACTCAAGAAGGGGGACCCCAACCCTGCCCTGACAAAGCCACTCAAGAAGGGGGGACCCCAACCCTGTCCTGGCTGGAGGCGCCCGCCTAGAGCCCCTCCTGCCCCAAGGGGCCCCACGGCAGGGCAGCGATGGAGGACATATGTTGAGGGCGACGTGGGGTCGCAGGCAGGCAGGGGCTGCTTAAACTAATGGCCTGGAAAACGAATGGCTGTGCTGAGCAGGCACCAAAATGTCAGGAGGGGCTGCGGGGCTAAGAAAACAGCCCAAGGAAATGAGCCGCGCTGGGAGTCACGGTTTCCATCACGGCGTCGCCCCCGCCTGTCCCCGGAGGCCTGTGTTTGCTCCGGTCTGGCCATCATCCCGTCAACAAATATTTATCGAGGGTCCTGAGCGACGCTCCACAGAGTCGGGGTCAGGCCTGGGCAGCACGTCCTGCCGTGACTGCCCCATGGCCGGGCAGCCCCAGCCCTTGGACACTGCCCAAGAGATGGGCTCCCTGCACCTTCTCTGCTTGATCTCCAGGGCTGGCTGGCTGCTGGGCCACCTTCCCAGAGGGGTGTGTCACCTCCCAGGTTGGGGCTCCTCACTGAGTCCCAGCCACCTCTGAGGCCTGCACAGGTCCCTGCCCCACCACAGAGCTCCCCACCCCATTCCAGAGCTCCCCTCAACCCATCACCAGAGGCCCCCATGGCCAAGCAGCTCTGACCCACTGCGCCGGCTTATGGAAAAGTTTCTGGAGCCTCCACCAGCCCCAGCCAGCTACAGGGGTCAGCCTGGGGACATCCACAGCCACGGACAGGCCACGCATACAGAGTGGGTCCCCTGGAGCAACCAGGGTGCCTTTGGGAGCGGCCTCATGGTGGAGGGGTCTTACCAGTCAGAAGGCGTGGGGGCTTTCTTTGGTGGGCGAGTGGTTGACAGGGCACTTAGGCCAAGCAGGGCCCTGTGGGAGGGCAGAGGCCAGGGGCCGTGGGGAGAGCCGGAGGGCTCAGACCCCAGAAGATGGCTGGGGCAGCCTTGGGGCCCACTCTGTGCCCTTAGTGCCTGCCCCCGACAGACCAGCCCCAGAGCAAGCCTTGTCACTCAGCCTCCCCAGGCAGGAGGCCGCCAGCCCTGGCTGCCTTGGGGTCTCCTTTGTGTCTTCTTCCTAGCCCAACGCCCCAGGCTGGGGCTCTGTGACTGGAGCTGCCTCTGCCCGGGGAACCGGGCCTGGCCCTTTGGGGTGTGGGGGACCTGGGCTCCAGGCCTCAGCCACTTTTCCCATCTCTGCTCCAGGCTGGGGTCTCCATGGCCCCAACAGACCCCACTGGAGAGCCTCATGCCCAGGGCTTGTGAACAGGGCAGCACTAGGTCCCCACCCCTGCCCCCCAGCGCCCCCTCCGCCCCAGCTGTGTGCAAACCATCTATCTCGTCCAGTGGGATCTGCCCGAATATCTGCAGGTAGGGCCGGTAGAGCACCCGGCGGAAGATCCACTCCAGGCGGCCGTCGTGAGGGTGCAGCAGCGCCTGTGTGGTCACGCCGTAGGCCACGAGCCACACACTCAGAAAGAAGAGGAAGAAGAAGACGTCCTTCATCTCCACGGGTCAGGGGCAGAGAGAGGGGCGTCAGCAGCCGGCCGGGCAGGGCTCAAGCAGGGGGCTGGCAGTCTGCCCACGGCCAGGGCCCCCGGGGGGACTCACCATTCGCTCCACCACAATGATCTTGGGTCCCAGCTGCTTGTGTATGGCAAAGATGTGGATCAGCCGCAGCGTGAACACCATGAAGTCCATGGCGAGGACCGTGCGGCCAGCCTCAAACGCTGAGGGCAGCATCCTGGAGAATAGGAGGCTGACGCAGCTGCAAGGCCCAGAGAGGGGCAGAGGCTTCCCCAGGGACTCAGCACACCAGCTACAGGCAGGGCCAGGGCCAGGCCAGGACTCGAGTGGCTCTGAGTGGCTTTATTTTTTGTTCATTTATTTTTAAGAGACGGGGTCTAGCTCTGTCACCCAGGCCAGACAGCAGTGGTGTGATCACGGCTCGCTGCAGCCTCAACTTCCCTAGTTCCAATGACCCTCCCACCTCAGCCTCCTGAGTAGCTGGGACCACAGGCGCAAATGCCATGCCTAGGCTGAGTGGCTTCATCTGGAAGCCTGCCCACAAGCCCTGCTGAGGCCACATGGCCTCTGGGCCCCACAGACCTACAGGTGACTCCCACGACGAACAGGAAGATGGCCACCATGTCACACTTGTTCCAGTTGTCCCCCACGTACAGGGTGAACTTCTTCACCAGGTGTGTGTCCTCATCTGTGAAGAAGCCCTGGGAGGGAGGCAGGCAGTCCACTGAGAGCTGTCCGGGCCCCCTCGCTGGAGTCAGCCCCACCCAAACAAGCTCTGATCTGTAGGGAGCAGGGCTCAGTTAGCCATGGGGATCAGAGTTCCATCTATGACCAGGGCCCAGGCTACCAGTGGGACTGGGAGTCAATTGAAGCTATTCCAGGGCTCAGTCTGGGGACAGAAGCTGAGGTCAATTTCTACTTGGAGTCAGGCAGGGCTGTTTGTGCCAAGGGTCTGGGGTCAGTTTATTTGGTGTCTGGATTCAATCTGTGATACAGGTCAGGATTCAGACTCTGATGAAGGAGACCAGGGTCATGCTGAATCTGGAGCAGGGCTCAGGGCTCAGCCTGCAGCAGGGCTCAGGGCTCAGCCTGGAGCAGGGATCAGGGCTTAGTTTGCAGCAGGGATCAGGGCTCAGTCTGGAGCAGGGCTCAGGGCTCAGCCTGCAGCAGGGATCAGGGCTCAGCCTGGAGCAGGGATCAGGGCTCAGCCTGCAGCAGGGATCAGGGCTCAGCCTGGAGCAGGGATCAGGGCTTAGTTTGCAGCAGGGATCAGGGCTCAGCCTGGAGCAGGGATCAGGGCTCAGTCTGCAGCAGGGATCAGGGCTTAGTTTGCAGCAGGGATCAGGGCTCAGTCTGGAGCAGGGACCAGGGCTCAGTCTGCAGCAGGGATCAGGGCTCAGTCTGGAGCAGGGATCAGGGCTCAGTCTGGAGCAGGGATCAGGGCTCAGCCTGGAGCAGGGATCAGGGCTTAGTTTGCAGCAGGGATCAGGGCTCAGTCTGGAGCAGGGATCAGGGCTCAGTCTGCAGCAGGGATCAGGGCTCAGCCTGCAGCAGGGATCAGGGCTCAGTCTGGAGAAGGGATCAGGGCTCAGTCTGGAGCAGGGATCAGGGCTCAGTCTGGAGAAGGGATCAAGGCTCAGTCTGGAGCAGGGCTCAGGGCTCAGAGCTCAGTCTTCAACCAGGATCAAGGTCACTAGTGACTGGGAAGATGGGAGGCCCCCATGCTCTTCTTGTTCTACAGATGGGGAGCCCCACCCCGAGAGGGCAGAACCCAGCTTAGGTTGCCCAACCAGAAGCCGCTGAGTGGAGGGGACCAGACTAGTGTGGCCACCGACCTGCCGGATTTCCTCCAGCACCAGTGTGAAGACCCAGAAGTAGAGGGTGACCTCGGGCCCTGAGGGGCCCTGGGGGGGCGGCCTGAAGTCCACCAGCAGGACGTAGGTGAACAGGAAGAGAAAGGCGAAGTACATGACCACGTTCCCCAGAAACACAGTCACGGGAGCGCCCCAGAACTTCCGCCAGCGTGTGAGCAGGAAGGTGGCACGTGGGCCTCGGTCACCCTGAGCCCTTGGCGCCTCCACCAGCTCCTCCACCCTGTGCCACAGAGAAGGCCGCAGTGGTGAGGCTGGCGCCCAGCTGGGGGCCCCACCAGAGTCCAGCCTCCCAGCCACCCTGCCGGCCCCCTGCCTCGCACCGGCTGTGCAGGCCATACAGCAGGCTCTTCTCTGTGTCCAGGCTGTCCAGCTCCTGCGGGTCCTCCTGGCCAGTCCTCAGGGGAGTGTCCTCACTGTGAGCACAGGAGAGCTCAGGGCCCGCAGGAGGGGCTCCCTGCTCGGCTCCAGGCACTCGGCCATCAAAGTGCGTACTGGGATGCAGGGGCTGCAGGGAGCGGGACCCTCAGGGAGGCTTGACTTGGGGGCAAGAATCAGGCTGCCACCAGCACTGGCGAAGCCCAGGCCCTCCCCACGCGCTGCGACCTGCCCTGGCCAGGCAGGCAGCCGGAAGACCTGACCCACCTGAAGGTGATGAGGTTGGTATAGATGAGGGCAGGGCAGAGGAAGGCCCCCAGAAGCCGCAGGATGGGCGTGCCTGCAGCCATGTCTCCCCACCAGATCCTGGTCAGGAAGGCCTGAGGTGAAGGCAAAACTGTTGGCTCCACCTCTGTACCTTTGCCCAGACTGTGCCCTGCTCCAGAAATGGCCTTGCCCCAGGTCCCAGGCCCCGTGAGCTGAAGGGGCGCCCAGCCCAGCCCTCCTTCCTGGAGCCCCCATCCTGGCAGGGGACATGGTCCTTGGGTGCTCCTCCCGCGGGTATGGGCTGAGCTGCTGTGCCATTCCCTAGGGAAAAGATTGGGCTTGGGGGTTGGGAAGGACCGAACGGGGAAGTGGCGCTTCCACTGAGCCCAGAAGCAGGGGAGTGTGCCTGGCGGAGTAAGCCAGGTGGGCACCTTCCAGTGACAGAAGCCCCACCACCTCTCCGTGTTGGGGATGGGAGTGACAGGGCAGCTGCAGCTTGGGAAGTCAACTCAAGCTGGGCCCAGCTCGCCTGCCTGCCCTGCCCCCAGGCAGCCCTCCAGAGGCCAGCTGGCACTCACCTGCACACCGTCGTGGGCAAAGAAGGCCTTGGCATCTGCCTCGGTGGCCAGGTGCAGGCAGGTGGTCTTGCTCCAGCAGCGGTTCCGGCGCACCAGCAGGGCGAAGGCGCGGTCCTCACTGTTTCGGTAGCACTCGGAGAAGAGGTCTGCCGAGAGGCCCTGGCGCTAGGACCAGACACCAACGCCCGGCCCCAGGCCCCATCCTCCGTCCCCTGCCCAGAGCGGGGCTCTGCAGCTGCACCCTGCCAGGTCTTCTGCCCTGACCTGGCCTGCTCGGGGCCCTTCCTGACCCTCTGTCCTTCTCCAGCTCTTTCCTTCCCCCAGCAGAATGAGGGGAGCCGCCACCGTGCTGAATGTCCCTCAGCCCGAGGCAGGTCCGGTGTATGCCCAGGGCAGGAGGCTGTGTCTTCCTCACCCATGCCCAGAGGTCCCACGCTCAGGATCTGGGGCCACCTCCATCCCAGGCAGATCCATCTGTCCTCTCCTACAGAGGAGGCCACTGAGGGCACCTGGAGCCCCACAGCAGTAGCAGGCGGCCCTGGTGAGGCCCAGGCTCCTCCGTCTGACCCCTCTATCACATCCTCCCCCGCCGCGCTGCTCTGGCCCCGGCCGGTCACTCACCGAGGGCCAGCTGCTCATATTTCGCCTCGCGCATGGCTCGGGCCACCTCGGCCTCCGTCTCCAGGTGCGACATCTCTTTGAGGATTTTGCAGGCGGCCAGAGCGGCGGCCACACCCTCCTGGCCCTAGGAGACCCGGTCTCAGGAGGCCGCCCCTCCCCTGCACCTGCACCCATGCAGGGCCCACGGCCTCGGCTCACCATGGCCCAGAAGTAGGTGGCCATCTCGTGGCGGTTCTGTAGCACGGCCCACAGGAACAGGTCCCGCCAGGGGTTCTCACTCTTCTGGTTCAGGTCCAGCAGCCACTTCTGGCCTGTGGGCCGCTTGGCCGGGCCCTTCTCCTGGAGGACACGGGCGTTGGCCTCCCGCTGCGGCCCCGGCCTCGGCCCCCATCCCACGGAACCCCACTCACCGCCTTCCTGCGGCCCCCTGGCCGGCCATCCTGGTAGAGGCCTCGGCAGGCGTCTTGCAGGAAGTCCTTGAGTACACGGGAGACCTCATGCAGGGAGAAGGCGGGTGGCCCCACAGGTGGCTCCCGGGCCTGCTGGGCGCCGAGGCTGGCCAGGGTCAGCCGGGCCTCCTCCTGCTTCCGCTGCAGCAGGTCAAAGAGCAGGCTCTTGGGGGACACGGAGCGGTAGAGCTGCTGCAGCCGCCCATACGTCAGGAAGTCGGCCACGTCCGCGCCGTTGTCCACAAAGAGACGCACGAACTCCGGCTTGTTGCTGACCAGGGCGTCCACCATCACCTCCTCCAGGTCACGGGACTTGGCACCCAAGGGAAGGGGGACAAGAGAGTGAGCCAGAGACAGGAAGAGCGGACCCAAGGAAGGAGAGAGCAGGGAGCAAAGGGACCCACGCCGGAGGCCAGGTCACCCAGACCCTCACGCTCTCCCGCACCCCAGCCTGCCCCGAGTTGGGGCAGGCACAGAGGGGCCAGTTGCAAGCAAATGCTGGGAGTGTTGCAACCCCCTCGGGGTTCTGGGACAGTGAGCAAGGCCGAAGCCCGGGCGGTGCCGTGGCCTGGTCTCTCCCTGGACCTTGGGATAGCTGGGCAGAATGGGCTTGGCCAAGCAGCCCGCAGGGTACAGGAGCAGGCAGTGTGGGCAGCTCAGGCTGAGCCAGGAGCGTGAGGCGAGCGGGCAGGCGGGAGGCACCTTCCACTCCACGTCCCCATTGAAGATCTCACTCTTGGCGATATCCACGCGGTCCCAAGCCACTGCCAGCTTGAGCTCATCCAGGTAGTCTTGCGGCTCCTGGCTGTGGCTCTTGCAGGCTGTGGGCAGAGCAGGCAGGCACTAGTAAGGGTGGAGCTGAGGGCCTGACAGAGCCAGGGCACAGGGGACCCGAAAGCGGGCTTCCTAGAGACACAGAAACAGGAACTTCACACTGGGACTGGAGGGGGCACACGCGCCAGCTCTGGGCACCAGCAGGGGGCAAGAGACTTTGTTGCCAACCCTAGGAGTCATGGAGTGCTGCCCTGGCCTGCATCAGGGCAGCCCATCCTGAGGGGGGATCCTTAGCTAACAGGATCCCCTGGGCCCGGAGGCCACTTCCAAGCGCTGAAGGCCCAGGACCCCCTTCCCATGGATATTGTTGGGGAGCACATTGGGTCACGTTTCCTCCATGGGCAAAGGGCATTTGACTATGACTTAGTGAGGTCACCTGGGCCACTGGAGGGAAGGCTGCAGCACCCGGGCTGGGCACTCCTGCTGGAGACCACTGACCTCACCAGCCTCAGCCTCCGTAACCACGGACCCCGTAAGACTGCAGTGCCCCTCTCAGGCCACAGGGACCAAACTGAGACTCCTGAGAAGGGCTGGGGGGGTTCCTGAAGTGGCGGGGGAGGGTCCTTTGACCTCCTTGTCCTGGTGAGGTTGCTAAACCCAGGGCCACCCGAAGTCCAGACACCCTTCCCGGAACGGACTCCAGGGGTCCCCAGCCCCCGCTCAGCAGCGCCCCTCCCTGCCGGGGAGGCCGGCCCTTCAACACACATTTGTCTCCAATAAAAAGCACATCCGACGCTAATCAAGTTTCCATCAGCGGATGAACGGGTGCAGACAGCGCTGTCTGACCACAGGCTGGAACCTGACTCTGCATCACAAAAGGAGTGGAGCATGGAGGGGCATTGGCCGCAACGCGCATGAACCGTGAAACCCTCTCGCCGCCTGTCGGGAGCCGTGGACACGAAACGCCCGCCGGCAAATCTATCGAGACAGGAAGCAGACGGGTGGCTGCCAGGGGCTGGGGAAAAATGGGGAGTTGGCACCAAGGGGTACAGGCTCTTCCTGGGGCGACGGAGGCTTCCGGAATTCGATGCCAGTGATGCTCGCCCCACCTTGCTAATAGACTAAAAGCCACGGAGTGAGAGCTTTAGATATAGTTTTAAACTGTGGTTGAAAAAAGGTCATAAAACTTGGCAAGTACAGAGCGCTTCATGAATCACACGCCACCTTCCCTGGGAAGGGGCCGGTTGGCAGTGTCATAAACATTGGCCAGGCTGCCAAACCCCAAGCGGCTCCGCGCATGAAGGCGCCCGATGGCCCCCGCCGAGGCCGCCCTGCCCGCCCTCACCTTTCACCAGCGCCTTCAGGATGACGGTGTCCAGCTCCTCAGAGCCCTCCTGCTCAAAGTCATACACGGTGAACAGGTGCGGGTGTGAGGCGATATTCTGCAGCTGGGTGCCAGAACAGAGTCCCAATCGGGCAGGGGCAGGCCATGGCCGACACCAGTGGAGGCACGGGCAGTGTCCACAGGTGAGCGAGTGCCAGCCTGCAGCCTGCTTGCCCACCGCCCACCGGGCCCAGCCTGGGACCAGGGGGCTGCCTGGGTCCCTCTGCTCCCTGTAGGTCTGAAGCAAGAGTGGGTGGGGGTCCCAGCAGCATGTGGTGGGAGGGGTGGCTGGAGGCTGCATAAGCAGGAGCTCTCCCGAAGGACCAGCCTTACCCCTGGAGGAGGGGTCGGGGGGACAAGGGAGGGGGCAGCACATACCAGCTTGGTCCAGTGCACAATGTCCTCCCAAGAGAAATGCTTGCTGGGGAACTTCTCCTTAAACTGCTTCTCAGCCAACTTGGGTACGAGGAGGTGGGGCTGGTTGACCAGGGTAGCGATCACGTCAGCGATGCCCCCTGAGCCTGCCAGGATCAGCCATGGGGCAGCCTGCTCCACGGCCCTGGAGATCCTCTGAGGCGGGGAGGGAGGGGAGCGCAGACCCCAGATCAGCCTGGTGCCATCTGGGTGAGGTGTCAGAGGTGCTCCCGTCTCTTCCAGCCCTGTCCCAGGGGTGCCTGGAACCCACCACACCCCTCTGGGGCCTCCAGCCAGCCAGGGGTCCCCAGCCAGGGCCCTACCTCCAAGGTGCTGGGGTCGCCATTAACCAGCAAGCAGAGGACAGGGATTTCGATGCTTCCTGTGCCTGTGGACAGGGTGCCTGTGAAACCCAAGGACCCTCTGCTGGGGTGACCACCCGGGTCTCAGGCTCTCAGACCACCGCGTTTTCTGGCCAAAAGCTGGCCCTTCTGAATAAAGTGTGGGCTCTGTCTGGGCCACGTGGCACAGGCTGCTCATTACAGCGCCTGCCGTACGGGGGCTGAGGCCTCCAATTTTAACCCGCAGTGCCCAGCACGCACACCCTGTGGCTGTTAAAATACAAAGTGACTCGGAGGAAACAGAGCACCCAGCCCCGCAGCCGCACTGCCACACGGCACACGCCCATGCTGGACTTGGCAGAGCCAGCGTCTGGACCGTGGAGGGAGCTCTGCTGGGCAGGCTGCTCCTGACCACCCAGCAAACTGAAGAGGCACAGGAGGGAGTCTTCCTGTTTCTCCCCCAGACAGAAGCTGGAAAGGAGACTTCCATGTGTGAAGCCCCCAGAGAGCCCTGGACCTGCCCCCGTCTTCTGTGAGGAAGTGAACAGGCTGGAGGCGCCTCCAAATCTCCCCCAGGGAACCGGGCTCCCAGGCAGGCGCTTAACTTTGAAAGGCACCTCCTGATTGAATCTGCAGGATAAACCAGGCCTGGCCACACAGCACCTGGGCCAGCGGGGCTTCCGCAGAGCGGAGCCAGACCCTCTGCCTACGTCCCCAAAGTTTGGTGAGACTTTGTGTTTTCATATCTAAACAGTGCTCAGTTGGGTGGGCACAGTGGCTCATGCCTGTAATCACAGCACTTTGGGAGGCATGAGGTGGGGGATGGGCTGGAGGCTGCATTGGCAGGAGCTCACCTGAGGTTAGGAGTTCAAGACCAGCCTGGCCAACATGGTGAAACCATGTCTTTACTAAAATACAAAAACAACAAAAAAAAAAAAAAAAAAGCAGGCGTGGTGGCACATGCCTGTAATCTCAGCTACCCTGGAGGCCGAGGCAAGAGAATCGCTGGAACCTGGTAGGTGGAGGCTGCAGTGAGCCGAGATCGCCCACGGCACTCCAGCCTGGGCAACAGTGAGGCTGCCTCAGAAGAAAAGACTGCTCCGTTGGCCTTCCCAGGGAATTATTTTTTGTTTCTGAATATTGCATGTTGTTCACAGATGTCATAATAATGACACGCTTCATTCATGAACATTATTTACACAGCAGCATTTTCTCAGTCCAGCTTTTGAACGTGGACTGGCCACAGTGGTGCCCATTTCTCGGGGGACGCTGCCCCCTGGCGGCTGCATACCTCATGGCTGGCGGCGGGAAGCAGCCCTCTTTCAACTCACAGATCTCGTTTTGCTCTCAGGGTCTCTGGCCAAGGCCAAGCCCAGTAAAAACAGAACTGCCACGACTGGTGGGAATGTCACTGCCCCACCAGGTAGTCCTGGTGTGTCCCTCTGTCCAGCTGTGTGGTCCACCGCGCTGACCAGACAGCATCTCCTCCCAGGCCCCTACGGCCCAGGTCTCGGTGCTCACGCATGCTGGGTGCGTCCCGCCTAGAAACCGCCCCCCCCACTCTCCCTGGCGGTCACCCCACCCGCCCACAGGCTGATCCCTGGATCCCCACTGGGTCCCAAGGCAGTTGGCCACTGGCAGCTTCCTTGGGTGGCTGGGCGGGCCTCACCCCCGTAGCCTGTCCTCTGCTCCGAGATGTGCTTCTCCAGCCTCAGCCGCAGCTCCATCAGCCCATCGCCCTTCCCCGGGGGTGCTGGCTCCACCAGGATGAAGTGGGAGAGGTTGCTGTCCAGTGAACGGAGCGGGCCCTGGATTCCGCCATCGTCCTCGGGGTAGTGGACAGGAATATCCTCCTGTGCCCATTCAGGAAGACGAGGCTGAGCCCTCGGGAGGCAGCTTGGCCTGGGTCCCGCTGCAGGACCCTCCCTGCCAGGCCGTGCACACCACGCCGTGGGGCCCTGCACAAGGCTTCCGCCTGAGCCCTGGCTTCCCCAGCCCTCAGACAGAAGGAGGGGTGGACAGCGGGGGCCTGATTGAATCTGGGGGATCAACCAGGCCTGGCCATGCAGTGCCTGGGCTGGCGGGGCGTCTGCAGAGCAGCCCGACCCTCTGCCTGTGTCCCAGAGTTTGGGGAGAAAAATCTCTGAAAGTCTTTCCTGCAGGATTGCCCTCAGATTCACTCAGTGAAAACTCTGTCGCCCCTCCTTGGACACTGGGGCAGGGGCAGCGGGGAGCAGGTTCTTTTAGACGGAACCCTGGAGACAGCCGGGCTGCCGGAAGCTCCTCCTTGTCCACTCTAGGGCTGGCCTCCAGACATCCACCAGGGGCTGCGTGGGCCTCCCTCAGCCCTGCCTCAGACAGACCCCAGCGTGGGGGACGACGCTGCTTGCCCAGGCTTGGACAGGGCTTGGGGCCTGGGCCCGTGTGCTACAGCAGGAGGCTGGTGGGGGGGGGGGGGCTCCATGGTCTACACTGGCCGGTCCCTGTGTGGTGCTGCCACCTGCCGGTCGCATGCTGGCTCTGCCCGCTCCCGGCTCTTGTAGCCCGAGTCCTGTCCTCCCAGAGCTCTGACTGCTGCCCATACCCTTCCGAGCCCCTGCCTCCAGGCCCAGCGGCCATGGTGCTGGGAGCTGGACGCGCACCTGGGCCTCCTCCAGGATGTGGCGGTGCAGGACGTGGCCCAGCGAGGCCATGCCGACGGCAACCACGCGGACCTTGGTGGACGTGCTGGCCAGTGAGTGGTCCCGCACAGCCTGCCCGACGTGCCGGGCAAGGCCCACGCGGAGGGCGCTGGTCAGGATCCAGGCTCCTGTGGGGACAGAGGACGGGCTCACTGTGCCACAAGGCCCAGGGCTTCCCCTTCTGGCCCCACACCCTGACCCCTAGGCCCAATCAGCAGCCGGTGACCTGGGAGCCAGGGGTGGGTGCTGGGGAATGCTCCAAGGTAGGATGGGAAAGCTGAGGTCCAGAGAGGGCAAGTCACCCACCCAAGGCTGCTCAGCAGCGGGACTGGCTGGGCCTAGAACCTGTGAAGCAGCACCCTCACCCTGCCTGGTGCGCATGTCCCCCTACTGGGCTCCCTCCGGGACAAATCTGACACAGCTCTGTCCAACTGCCTCTGCTGGGACAGAATCCCAGGATGTTTTCCCAAATTACAAAGCCTCAGCCCAGGTCTGGCTGGAAGATCTGTTTGGATTTGCCAATCATTTCTCTAGCGGGGGACCCTGAAACCTGAGGCCCTTCTCCCAGGTGTGCCAAAGTGCAGGGTGCCTCCAAATAAAGCCCAGTCACTGGACTCTGCCCCTACAGCTGGCTGGCCTGACCGCTTCCCCAGGGGCCCACCCTGTATGCGTGGGTTTACTGGTCTTGGGGGAGTGAGAGAGGGACATTCCACAGGTGCCCGCTGGCCCTGCAAGGGGAAGGGGCAGCTCTAAGGAAAGGCCAGGCCCATCTGGGGGAGGTCCTGGTCCCGTAGGTAGGCACTGCTGCACCCGTGGGTGCTACAGAGGACGGGCTGAGTCATTTCCGGAAATGTTCTCTTGGTGGCTGAAGAGCCAGGGCGTCGGGCTGCCGTGCAGGGCGGGCTGCCGTGTGGGGCGGGCTGCCGTGTGGGGTGGGCTGCCGTGTGGGGTGGGCTGCCGTGTGGGGTGGGCGCGCTGCCAGACGCTGGGGCTCACCTGTGCTCTGAGCCGCCTTCACCAGCCCCTTGCGCAGCACGTCCCGCAGCCAGGACTTCATGGCAAAAGACTGCTCCTCGCCCACCAAGGACACCACCAGGTTGGGGGCTGGCAGGTGCCACTCAGAGAGCAGCAGATCAAAGAGTACAGACGGGGCCACTCCACTCGGCACCCTCACAAACTGCAAGGCGGGGGCTGCAGCTCAGGGATTTTGGGGCACGGGGCACAGGAGCTGCCGGGCAAGGGGGGGGGCTGGAAACAGGGAGCACTGGGCACTGGGGAGCTGCTGAGCAAGGGGGGCCTGGACACAGGGGGCCACAGGGTACTAGGGAGGTGTTGAGCATTGGAGGTCCGGGACACCAGGGGCACAGGGCACTGGGGAGCTGCTGGGCCGTGGAGTGCTGGACATGGGAATACTAGGCACTGGGGAGATTCTGGGCATCAAGAGAGCTGAACACAGGGGGCGCTAGGGAGGTGCTGGGCATTGAGGGCAGGTAGCAGGAGGAAAGAGGCCCCACAAGACCCCTTTTGGGACATGGCCAGTCCTTTGACCTGCTGTTGACCTGGACAGTACTAACCCCTCTCTGGGCTGGCATCCCCTTCCATGAGCCAAGGGCGCTGGACAGAGCTGGAGCCCTGGATGCACTTGACCTTGTGCCTCCAGATCTCTGATGGACCTCAGGGGTCCCGGTCATTGCAGGGAGGTCGGAGGCCAGCCAGAGCCACTCCTTCCAGCCTGGAACTCTGGCTGTCTGAGGTCTCTGAACATGGCCACAGGGGAGCAGACCCCAGGGGTAAGGAGGACCCTGGCACTCAGCTTCCGGGGAAGGAATTGGGGGCTCATGGGTTCCAGGGCAAGGCAGACGTCACCCAAGGCCTGGGGGCTGCCCCTACCTTGCCTCGCTTCTTCCCAGACCCTCCGAAGTCGACCTCACCCCTGCGCAAGGCCAGCCCCTGCCAGTCTTCAGCATCCCCGGGGCTTCTGGGACGGGGGCCTTGGACATGCTGCATGACAGCCTCTCTGCAGGGACACCGCGGCCCCTGAGGACTAGGAAGGCCCATCCCTGCCTCGCTCCCTCAGGGGGCTGGTGCTGCCTTCCCTGGGAAGCCCCTCTCCAGCCAACATGCACATAGAGCCTGGGGAGTGCCCCAGGGACCTTCTCCCTGCCCAGCACCCACCCTCCCCCTGCAGCACTGCCCCAAGCAAGCTCCTTCCAAGCTGAGGATGGGATGTGTGGGTCTCCGCCACCGGCGCCTGGTCCCTCTACTCACCCTACTCTGGGCACCTGGGTCCCCACACTTGTGAATGCGTCTCCAGAGGGCTTTTGTGGGGATAACCTGGGAAGTGCGAAAGACTTAGTGGAGGCCTCACAGCCCCCTGGCCACACAGCCCACCCACTCCCAGGACAAGGAGAGCCTGGTGCCCCTGGGCAGCAGGTAAGAAGGTGAGGCCAGTGCCCTCAGCTCAGGGGCAGGAGGTGGTGTGGATGAGGAACCACCCTCCTTGCCCAGAAGATCCAGGATGCCCAGGAGGCCCAGGAGGTACAGAGCGGGGAGGCCTTGCCCCGGCCCATGCAGCTGCGGCAGAGTTCTTCCCGAGGCACTCCCACATCAGCAAGTGGGGGAGAAGAGGCCACGTGCGCCTCAGCCCTCTTCCCTCAACCCTGGTGGGGCTCCCATCTACCAGATGCCCGGTGAGACCAGGCATCTCAGCCCCTCTCTGGGTGGCAAGGATCCAAGGATCGGCACTGGCCCTTCAGCACCCTGGCTCCACCCCTGCGCATGGCCTCATCTCTCAGCTGCCCAGCTCCAGCCTGCTTTGGCCCCACCTCCCTCCAACTGCTCCTCTGAAAACTCAGTATTGGAAGCTGGTGCCTGAGGACAAGCCTGGCAGGCCGAGGGCACCTGCACCTCTGCCCTCCTGGGACCATGCGCCAGGTCGCAGGCTGCTGGGCAGAGGTCTCCTGTCCAACCTGGGGCCACCTGGCAGCTCCCGATCCCACAGAGCTGTCCCTTGATTCTCCTGTGCCCACCCTGCACCCAGGCACCCCGGGCAGTGTCCACCACAGAAGGCCCTTTGTGAGAGGGCAATGACCCTTCTATAAAACCCTCATTTTCTAAAGAGGGCCACCTGTGATCCCAGGAGGGGATCTTCAGGCATGGCCTGGGAGTGTGTCCCGGGACCCCTGGGACTGGCTTTGGGGCAGAGGCCAAGGCCAAGGCCCTCCCATTAGGCCTCTGGAGCCAGCAGTCACTGTGTCCTCAAACAGGTATGTCCCAAGAACCTGGGAATGTGACCTTTGGAAACAGGGCCTTTGCAGATGTGATGAAGAGGTAGGTGGAGAGGGGCCTTGCTGGAGCCGGGAGAACTGATTCCCAGGACCCAGGTCTTTATATAAAAAGGGGACTTTGGACATAGAGATGGACGCACAGGGAAAGACACCTTTAAAATACAGGAGAAAGGTGTAGGCAGGGGTTGGGGGAGGCTGCCACAAGCCAAGGGACACCTAGAACACTGAAGCTGGAATAGACAAAAAGGAGATCCCTCGAGCGCTTGGCCCTGCTGACACCTTGACTTAGGACCTAGGGCTGCTGGCCTCCAGAAGCCTGAGTCAGTTGCCATTGCTTTAAGATGCCCAGATCAGGCTGTTTGTCACGGCCACCCAAGGTCCCCACGGGAGGCCCAGGTCAAGCCCGGCACGACGTCTGGGGACTGCCAGCCCCAGGCAGGACCCACCCACGGGCCCCAGCCCCCTCCTCTGGCCAGGCCTGCGGAGGCCCCCCGATGATGTCAGCACCATGTAAGCCTCTGCCACCCCTGCAGGGTGATGCAAATTCTCCCCAGCTCTCAGACCGCAGAGACGCGAGATTTGAATATGGCCTTCCGAGCCGGCAGAGACGCTTGGTGGTTTTCAGTGTGGGAAGCTGGTGTCTGTGGCCAGGCCCCAAGTGGGGGCTAGAGGCTGGGAAGAGGCCTGGCATTACTGCCATGTCCAAAAGAAAGGGCCACACCCTCGGAGGCCCAAAACAAACAGATGATCTCACAGTTCTAGGGGCCACATGTCCAAAATCCAGGATCAGCAGGGCCGGCTGCCTCTGGAACCCTTGGGAGGGTCCTTCCCCGCCTTCCAGGTTCCCGAGGCGCCAGGCTCTCCCTGGTGGTGGCTTCATGTCTCCAGCCTCCGCCTTGGTTGGAGTGTGTTCTGCTCCCCTGTCTGTCTCCTCTGCAATCATTGATTGACCAGGCCCACCCTACCCAGTGTGGCTTCATCCTCATGGGGTGCTATCTGTGAGGACCCCGTTTTCAAATGAGGTCACATTCTAAGGTCCCAGTGGACACCACCCCACCATTAGCATCGCTTCGTCTGGGAGGACACCACTCAACGCAGAACAGGCAGTGAGGGGCGCCGTGTGCTTGCAGCCCTGGGCGGGGGTCATCAGGGGCCCTCACTCCCACCAGGGCCCTGCCACTCCTGGCCACCTGCTTGGGTCAGTGCTGGCCACATCTGGACATGTGCCCTGCAACTGGGGGTGCATGACGGCCATGTCCCCAGCACAGGGTGTGCGGGAGTTGGGGTTTGGCCATGACCCTCGGCCTGGGGGACAGGGCTGGACTGGATGACACAGTTACCCTCACTTTCTCCGTGACACTTAGGTCACAGATGGGGGACTCCCTCTTCCCCCTTCCATCCCTGGCAGCAATGGGGGGCCTGGGCCTTGGGAGGGTTCCTCCAGGGCTCCCTGGCCCCTCTCCGGGGAGGCTCGGCTTTGCCTCTTGGAAGTTCTGGGATAGGACACCCAGGAGCACCCTTCAGCCCGGAGCCCAGCAGTGCCTCCCCCAGTCTGCACAAGCCGCCTGGGAGAAGCAGCAGCTGTTACAGGCAGAAGCAGCCACAACCGAAGCTCTCGCCCTTCCCAGGGGCCACAGCCCCTCTTTTCTCCCGAGGATGGGGCAGAGCTGGGGGCCCGGCAGCTGGGGTGGGGGAAGCTGAGCAGCAGCATGGGCAGCCTCGCCCTCACGACTCCTTTCCCCAAGCCCAGAATCAGCACCGCCCTCCCCCCCGGCCAGCCCAGGGACTGAGGGGGCATTTGGGCAGGTGTTGGGCACCAGGCAAATAGGCTCAGAGGGAGGCGGTGCAAACGGCTGGGATTTGCATGAGCAGGTGCCCAGGTCTTCTGCGCCCCTCCCTGTGTGTCCCAGTGTGGGAGGGAGCTGGGGGCAGCCAGGGGCCTTCGTGACCCCTGGCCAGAAGTCCATCCCAGAACTCCGAAGAGGCAAAACCGAGGCAGCCACTTGGGTGATGAAGGCCCTGGGTCTTTCGCTCAGGGCAGAGGGCACCCATAGCCACAGCCATCCCAGAGACAGCCAGAACCAAATGTGGCCTCCCGGGCACCCCACAGCCAGCGTAGGGCGGAGCTGGATGGCCAGGTCCTGGGGTTCCAGCCCCACTTGTTCCCCCAGGCTGTGTGACTTTGGGTGGGTCCCTCAGCTTCCCTGGGCCAGCCTCATTTGTGAGATTTGGGGGAACGGGTGGTCACAAGGAGAGGGTACAAAAACGGTCCCGTCCAGCAGGCAGGAAGTCAGCTGTGTGTCCCTCTTTCCTCCCCATGAGGATACCCCACCTCCCTGGACTGCAGTGGAGGATATGGCTCAAGGAAGTGGTGGCAAGAGGACAGTGGTGACTCAGTGACCCCAGATTCTCCCACTGCCCCACTCCCCCTGCTGTCGGCTTCTGAGCCACACCTGCCTTTGCAGGCTGCTGACCAGACACTGTCCCTGAAGTCCCAGATCCAGAGCCCGTGGCGCTGGCCCTCCTGCCCAGACCCTCTCCCACCACTGGGCAGCCCGTTCCAGAATGCCCCACCTCACCCACAGTGGGGCCGGCCCTCCACAGCCCTGGGAAGTGGGGCTTCTCCCTGCTAGAGATAAGGAAACTTAGGCAAGAGGCAGAGGAGTGCCAAAGCGGCACTGTCCTGTCTCCCCTCCTTGTGCCCACCTGCCCTTCCCACCCGGGAGGAGGGGGTACGACCCCACCCCTTCTTCCCACCTGGGAGCCAGCAGCGGTGTGAGGTTCCTACCTGCCTGCCTTCTCCCAGCACCCCGACTCGCGGCTGCTGCCCAAGGAGGGAGTGGCGCCGTCTGCCTGCCTTGCGGGGTGTGCCTGTGGGCCTGGCTCTCAAGCCCTTCCTCCTCCTCTTCCCTGCCCAGCACGCCTGGCACCTGGGCAGCCAATGCTGGCCCCAGGGAGCTGACTGTGAACCAACACAGGGCACCACCTGACATGACCTGCTTGGCACAGGCTGAAATCCACCGTGAAATGCGATTGCACAGGGCTTTTCACCTCCGTCTGCACAGCAAGTGAGCACAGGAGCTGCCTCGAGAGCACACGTCTCACGCTGGCTGTCCCACGAAGGACAGGGAGCCAGAGGGACAGCCTCCTCCCAGTGGTGGCCCTGGGAGGCCACAGGGCATTGGCGCATGGCTGATGGTGTCTCATCTGTGCTGGACAGGCTGCACAGCGTGGACCAGCTGTGAGTGATGCCCATTCACTGCTCAGCACCAGGGGTGCTCTGTGAGGACCGTCCCTGCATCCGGAGGCAGGACAGGCTTCCAAGGGGACAGAGTGTGCCGCTGGAGTCCCGAAGTCCTGGATCCAACCTGCGATCGAATCCTCAGCCACTCTGGGCCTCAGTACCTTGGAGTGTGAAACAGGGACTCCGATAGCCCAGCTTCTGGGAGGTTGCAGGGGACACATGAGGAGAACAGAGCCTGGGGGATACCTCTGTGTGCCCCTTCCCAAAAGGGACTCCAAGGACCCCCTGCCCAGGGCCCCTCAAACCATAAACTCCATGAATGGCGGGGAACAGTACCTAGGACTTACTCTCAGGGACACTGGTGGCCACTCTAGGCGGGCCTGTCAGCCACCAGAGGGCACCAAAGGACCACAGGCAGAGTCTGGGGCAGCGGTGGTGATGGGTAGCAGTGATGGTGGTGATGGTGGCAGTAGTCGCGGCGCTGGTGGTGGTGGTGATGATACTGATGGTCATGACGGCGGTGGTGATCCTGGTGATGGCGACGCTGCTGACGGTGGTGATCCTGGTGATGGCGACGCTGCTGACGGTGGTGATCCTGGTGATGGCGACGCTGCT